AGAAGAAAAATGTTTTTTTGCTATTTAAGAAGCAGAAGCAGAATTTTTGTTTTAAAAAAAATATATGTATAGCTCTAGAGAATATGAAATTGAAATACATAAATGATAAATCTATGACACAATATCATACATAGATTCAAATTTTTTCAAACCCATAAAAACTTGGACACATCAAGACAAATTTTTTTTTTCAGGGAGATATTTTGAGCATTGGACGTGCACATCCTCTATCATGAAAATATATTTTCAGGTTTCTAGCACATACAAACTTAATGTAACTAAAATATAGAAGAAAAGTTATAAATAGAAACCTACAGTTTATAATGTTCAATTTTTAGAGGATTAAATTTTTTTCACATAATTCTATGAAGGCATGCTTAATTTCGAAACTTTCCATCAGGTTTATTTTATGCCGTATTTTTTCCAATACTCAATTTTATCAAGGAAACTAAGGTCAACAGACAAAATGTTAATGCACAAAAGTACTTTATTCCACTTTGGGATAGACATGCAAACAACCATGCAAACAACCGTGCAAACACAGATATATATCAGAAACTGTGTAATTGAAATAACTTGTATTTGTAGGAATTTATGAATATCTATATCCTGAAATAGTATTATCACCAATAGAATTGACTCCATCATTTAAGAGAACTTAAGAGACTGAGTAGAAAAATGAATCACGATGAGTCATGCAGAATGAACAGGCGCTCACCTTTGACTTTATTCTTTGAAGCAGCCGCTGGTACCAAGGAAAGGTTGCACAAGAAGAAAACAAACATTAGATATTAGACAGAGTCCCTAACTAGTAAAAAAACAGAGATGTTAGTATATTAAAGTCTAATAAGAGTACATTTATGATTGCATGTTGAACACACTTTAGATGAATCAGACTTATAACAAAGAAAATGACAGTTTTTATATTTTGTGAGTGTATGATTAAATCCTTTGCATAAGAAAAAGTAAGATAGACAGGAACTACACAGTACAAATTCTTACACCACAAGTCACCAAGTTGCTTTTAAAAAACGCATATCTTTCTTTCTCTTAACTCTAAATTTTAATTAAAATCAATTCTCCATAAGGATAAATGAATGAGATGTAATCCTCTCTAAAACTTCCCTCGGTTCCCTAGAAAATACTTTTTCTGGGCCAGGAGAAATAAACTATTTTTAAGCAACCATCTGCTCTTATATTATCTTGGGTTTTATTTTTTTCTCTTTATTCACATTTTTTTTTTTCTGTTTGAAGACCATTTGTCTTGACAGAAATTGGACAATAAAAGCATTGAGTACTCCTTTCTATAATATTATCTCTACATAATATACAATATTCTCGAACAACAGTAAGAAATAAAATTTCAGTTTCTACTCGAGGCACAGTTAATTTTAGAAAGTGTCATTTCTTGCCTTCATGACACCTTGTAGATGCAAAAATATAGGCATACTATGTCCTAAACTCCCCTGCAAGCTTGTATAGAAGTGGAGAGAAGAGATTCAAATAAAATGGATATGTGTGGAACAGCAGGGATGGAAGTGTGGGAAGCATTAAATAGGGTACAGATATATGCTTACATTTCAAAACTCTAGCTAGCTTGAGTCCTGACACGACTTGACAAACACCTGTAATATAATTTATGGCTGTGATCCTCCAATGGTAAATCATCTTTCCTATACTCAATACTTTGCAACCTGAATATTAGAATTTGGATTATAATTGTTTTTGAGAATAATTAAGTGAACACAGATGTGATTATTACTAGAGGTTTTACATAATCATATACTGTAATGACTCATGATCATTGTCTATTATATCATCTTCAAATTTATTTCCCTCCATTTTCTTGTAAAAGCACAGGGCTTTTTTCAGAAGTTTCCCCACTATGGTGAAATGAACTGTACGCATTCCTGCTTCCATATCTTGACTTAAGCTTTCTAATTCATTTTTATGTACTTTTTAAAATGTACATCCTATCTATCCTTCAAGAACCACTTCCAGCTTTACCTCCTACA